TAAACTTCAATCGATTGGGATTTAAAGAGGATCCTTTCATATAAGCTTCACAAGCATTACAAGCATTTTATGTGGAGGACACAATTGAAAAAGATTGGCATGTTGTTGTTCGAACGCAACCGAGAGATTTATTTGACGTATTGGAGGATAATGATGCTCTTGATGATTATACCATACCTGATTTGGATGATCGTTTACTTGACAATGAAAATTTGCAAACAAGGGTTGGCGTGGAAGAGACTCATTTTCACGAAGTATTACCGTTGCCTACCCAGTTCCCTGATTTTGTCAATGCCGCCGATGACCTAACAGAAGATGAAATGGAATAGTTTTATAATTTACTTTATGCTTTTTAAGTAATAATTAGACTATATTTAAATTTGTGTGGTGATTTTTATTTAAAATATTTTAGTTTATGTGGTAAAATTTAAAATGTTATTGAAAAACACATAGTTTCATTTTTTTTTTTACTCACGTTCCTGTCGGATAAAACCGACAGTGAAAGAAAAAAAAATTTGGGCTGGATTTTTCCCACGCCTTTGACTCAAAAAAATTAAAGGCGCAGAAACATCATCGACGGAGGAAAAATTTGTGGCGGTTTTTGGAGTTTTGTGTCGGCTAATACCGACACTAATCTGACCTTCTTCAATGCGTGCTCTGACATTTATATATCTGCCATCTGACTTTCATAAATGCACCGTCTGACATAGTCTGTCGGATTTTTATTTACTGGCGGATGTAACCGACACAATGTTGAAAATATCTGTCGGATTGAAATTTCTTGGCAGCTATAATCGCCAATATTTGTTAACCTCATTTATTTCTCATTTTTACTTAGGCCGACTTCGTTGTCTCGTTTTCACCTCTTCGTCCCATTTTCACTCTGTTCCTGTTCTTCTTCCCTTTCTCACCTTTTTTACTCCTACCCATTTTTACTCTGTTCTTCTTCCCTTTCTCACCTTTCTCACCGACATCCTTTTTTACACCTGCCCATTTTTACTCCTCTTCCCTGTTGCATGGAGGAACAAAGTGAACGTAGGACCTGCGGAGCTGCTATTCCAAAGTGGAAAGAGAGACAACTTTGTCTATTTGATTCGATAGGGAAATGTGTTAGTGAAAATGCCGTTGAGTTTTTGAAATTGGTAGCTTCAAAGGTTAAGGATCCAAGATTTATTCCATTGAAGAAGGATTGGAGGTTGGTACCTGAAGATGTTAAGGATGTTTTGTGGGAAAGAATTAAGGTATATGTTTTCGTTCGTACTTCTATAGTTCAACCCTATATTTCGGATTTGTTGTAACATGTTTGTTTTTATTAATGTAGGGGTATATCATTTTTCTAGATGAAGACTTGGATAGAATTCCAATGATTCGCAATATGACCCTCCATGTTGCGGATCATGCTTACAAGGAGTACCGTAACAATTTGAAAGCAGAGTATTACACCAAAAGACAAGGGGAAGATCGCTTAGAACCTCCCCTTGGTGTGGATGGTGGTCAGTGGACTGAGATGTTAGCGTATTGGGATGATCCAAAAACAAAGGTAAAAAGTTGTGATCAGTTTTTTGGTGTTGTAATGTTGTCTTCTAATTTTTTTTTTTTGAACTCTCAGGAGGTGGCAGAGAAAAACAAGTACAATCGGGAGTTAAAAACGATGAACCACACGACTGGTTCAAAAACGTTTGCTCGGGTCCGCGAGGAACTTGTAAGATTTGCTAATTTGTTATATATGTTGTGTATTTAATTTTTTGTATATAAATTGGGGTTAATATGTATTTTGATGTTCTCTTTTCACGGATTTAAAGAAGAGAAAGCATGGGAAGGAGCCGGATCCAATATCTTTTTTTCGAGCAACTCGTACCTGGAAAGACGACTCATGGGTTGATGAATCCTCGCAACAGAGAGGGGTGAGTGATTTATAACTCTATTTGAATTATTTTTGCATTTGTTAGAACACATTAATAAAAATTAGAATCTCTTTTTTATTTCAAATTTGTTTATCTTTCTGTTTGGATTGATGAATCTGTTTTGAAGATTCTAATTTATTTTTCGATAATAATTTTTTTTTATTTTGTTCAAATATTGTATTGAAAGACATCAATGGAGAGTCAAATTCAGTCTGTTGTCGAGTCTGGGGAAGAGGACACGTCGGAGGTACGAACACAGATTTATGTTGAGTAGATAGGGTACGAGGCTATAGTCATGGGGTGATACCAGAGATGGTGTCATATGCAAGCTCTTCAGGTTCCAGGTCATCCAGGAGTTCATCCAAAGGTCCATTTGCCAAGGTGGTAGCTGAGAACAATGAATTGAGGAGGAGGGGGGAAGAAGCCGCCATAAAGTTGGCAGAGGCAACGGTTGAGCTTGAGAAAACAAAGACCTCGCAACAGCAGGCATTCCAGCAGCAGCAGGCAATGAATCAGCAGATGTTGATGAATCAACATCAAATAATGTTGTGGCTTCACAACATTCGGCCACCACCCAGCCCTCAGGCATCATAGCATTCGGCCCCAATGCAGCCACCTGCGCCTGTATATCCCATGCAGCATATGCCTTTTCAGCCCCAGTATCCAATGCCAGTATATCGATCGCAGATGACTTCTCCAGGTGGCGCACATATTTCTCAAGGTGGTTTCAATGGTGGATTATCATCGGGTTTCTTATCTGGGTTGATGATGGGTAGTTTTGATGGGGATGTGATGAGGTATTTGGAAGCACATGGGTTGGCAGAAGGTTTTGGATCACAGGAAGCATCGGCAGAAGGTGTTGGTTCGCAAGGAGGGTCGGCAGAAGGTGTTGGTTCACAAAGAGGGTCGGCGGAAGGCTCTGGAGCCCAGGGTGGTTTTGGGGAAGGCTCGGGATCTATTGAATAGTTTATTGGTTTTCGTTACGGTTATGTCTGACACTTTTGTCTACTTTGACAAATGTTTTTTGTGTATGTAATATGGCGGATGCAGATGACCGTAGTTTAGGTTATTTTATATTTGACGTCTACTTTATGTGTTATGGCGGATTCAAATGACATTATCGAACGTTATATTTGAATGCATATTACGTTTTGTTATGAGCTTTTGTTTATTTTATTCATTTACTGAATTTTTTTTTATTCATTCAGAAATAAAAAATTATTCATTTACCTAATTTTATTTTTTATTCATTCAGAAAAAAAAAAAGAAGAATTGCGTATGTTTCGTTAATTAAGAATATTTTTCTGTCGGTTGTGACCGACGGTAAATTGTATATTTTTAATTTTTAAAAATGTGAATCCGACAGTAATTATTGTCGGTTTATACCGACAGAAATTGATAATATCCGACAGTAATTTATTATATATTGTCGAATATAACCGTCAGAATGGCTGTCGGTTTTCATGAACTTTCTGTCGGAAAATTTATTTCCTGACGCTGGCAATTCTGTCGGTTAGTATATCCGCCACTGCACCTAGTTTCTGTCGGATTTTGTATAATATCCGACAGTAAGAGCTGTTTTTTGTCGGTTATAAGAACGACATTATTAAACGGTTTTGTAGTAGTGCCATTTTTCTTTTAGTGATGATAGTTATGTCACATACGTCATGTCAGGGCCGGTCCAGAGATTTTTGAGGCCCGGGACGACGCTAAAAATAGTGCCCTAACTTCATATAAGAAAATTATTTATTTTCACACGTAAGATATTGATAAAATTATACTTAGAAAAGCACTTCAAACTCAATAATTTAGAAACACAAAAAGACTAATTTATTTTGTATTGAGAGAAGAAAACCAAACAACTCTGGGCTTATAAGTAGATAGATGATGAATTTTGTTTTCCATTTGAACTTTGAAAGTGTTTTTGTATAAATCATGAGGTGTTTTTTTATTTACTAACCTTGTCAATATGGGACTAAAAAAATAATGATGTTTTCGAGTCTTTAATTGATATGTATTAGTAATGAATGGGCATTAAATTAAATATTTTGATAACACGTCATATAATTTACCAATTTGCGCTAAAAATTTGGTCTACGTATTACTCATTGTTGAAGATTAGACTTGAATTGAAACGAATATTTAAAAATAACAACCCACATAGCTACTAGCTAGTAACTAAAAATAAATTAACAACCAAACAAAAAATAAATTAACAACCAAACAAAAATTTGTAAAAATTGAAAAAAATAAACATGCACATAGCATTTCGAACTTAGGACCTCTTGTTAATTTTAAACAACAAAAACCATTGCTTTTAATTAAACTTCTTGATCCTTTAACCAAATTTTATAAATTTATACTCTTATGAAAAGAAATTTGTAAAAATTAGAAAGTAAATAAGCACATGTGGTGTTTTGAACTCAAGACCACTCATTATTTTCAAATGACCAAACCACCTCTTCTACTTAAATTTCTGTGTCATTGAACCAAGTTTTATAAATTTATACTCTTATGAAAACATATATAAATATATCACCCTAATAATTTTGGTGCCCCCAATATTTTTGGGCCCCGGACGGTTGCCCTGCTTGCACTAGGCCTGGGCCGGCCCTGCGTCATGTGACATAACTAACTTGTTGATTAATTATAGGGTTTGAGATGTTTTAATATACCAATTAAGCATGTGATGTACTCAGGCACACCATTTAAACAATCAGTTAAGGGTGATTCCAACATTGAGTTGCTGATGCTAATCTTGGTTATGAATTATTTTTACCCCATTTTATGCATTGATTTTCAACATTTTCATGAAAAATTTAAGATCTGGATACATTCAAGATCTACTTGGTGTGTGTGTGTGTGTGTGTATTTCTAGCCTTGCATGTGCATGCATGCTTCCAAAATGAGAGGTAGAGATGTCAACTTAAATTTGGTAGTGATGACCATATATAATGCTTAGTTTTATTCCCCTGATCTATTAAAGCTCACAGAGATGGCGGGGAGGATATGAATCACTTTGTTTTTTCAGTCCATTTTGATTTTTTTATTTCCCCCGAAAATCCGCTTTGCTATTAAACCCTTTCTTCTGTGCAGGCAAGGATTTTAGGTTTGAATGCAAATTATTTCCTCAAAGTAGGAGGTTGTTGTTTAATCTCAATCAAGGTTTGTGTTGCCCTTATTTTTGTTCTCAAAACTGCTAATATATTGTTTCAACTTATATTTTTAGGCATTCTGCCGGTTTTCACACTTGAACACGTACCCCATTACCTATAATTTCCCACTAAACTTTAGACCAAAACTTTTATACATGGTCACTTTAACCAAATGTCGTATAATAACTTTGTTAAAATTGTCACATTTTAATAAACTAATAAATTATTGGCATGCACGTATATATAGAAAATTAGATGCAATGTAAATATGATGGTTGGGGAACATAGGCATTTCTAGTAGTTTAATGGGGTCTAAATAAAAGTTTAGGGAGCAAATCGGCATTGGGGTACTAGTTCAGAAAGAAAATCAAATATATTTGTTTCCAAATGGTCAGTGTAAAAGGGTTGGGTTTATATTTTGTTCCGGCGTTTTTCCAGGCAAATTACATAGACTCCACTCTTCCTGCTGAGAAAGTTTATGAACATGAAATGGAAAGAATGGGGGCAGAACAGTTGAAGCCTAAACAAAGGGTGACACTTGAGCCATTTGAACGAGACCATGCTTGCGTAGTTGGTGGATACCGAATGCCAATAAAGATAGAAAATGAACTCTCTGAAAGTTGGTGTATGCATGCATGCATGCCTGCAGAAGATTGTCTCTCTTTTGAGATTCAGCTCTGCTAGAATACTCTTATGATTTCAAACTCCTTCCTTAATTAAGACTTATTGGAATATTTATTACTACGAATTAAAATTATGCTACTGCTTGCAAATGGGATATGTGATAATTGTTGGGTTTAATATCAATAAAGATTTATTTGCTTATTTTGGAATTCCATGCATTTGTCATCACATGGAATTATCATTATTGATAGAAATCATATGAATTATTTTGCAATTTGACCCTTTTATTTTTTTAGAACTTTTGAGTGTGATGTAGGACATGAAACTGGGTATTTTCATTTCATTCGAACTTGCCTTTAACGAGAATTGGACTAAAGACCTGTTATAAGACTATGAAACTAAGTGACAGTTATAGAGACACATTAAACCATTTGTAATGATTTCTTTACTGATGATACGAACAAGAATTTTTCATCCTTAAATGTTTTTTTCCCATTCTTAAGTTGAAAGTGAGTTCAAATCAAATTATTATGGTACCTTTGTGTAGCTTAACCAATGCCCTCTATCTCCTTAATATAAACATTTCGTTGTACTAAAAAATTATAGGCAAATTTCATTGTTTTGGCTTAGGTTCATGTTTCGTATCATGTATGCATTTATGTAGCACATACATTCATGTATCATCTAGCTATACAAGAGTGGTTTGGACCCTTAATTTTTGAATTTCATCTATCTATCGACAATATATTTAAATTTCTCTCACTAAGGGTGTTCTTTTCCTTGTGGATTCAAAGCATTCCACTTCAAGAGGCAAGGTCTAAAACCATAATTTTATTTTGATTATATTGACGGTGTATGTATAGTTCGGTTAGCTTGATCATATGCAATGCTCCTTTCACTTGAAAATCATCCAGTAGAGCGGCTTTTCAAGTAATGAGGTATTACCTATTCACTACCAAAATTGTTGCAGAAACCTTGAAACTCAACATGGATCTGATTCTCTTCCCCGTTTGTCGGAATACAATCACGTGGCTTCGCAAGAACCATTTGATCAAGTCGATCATTCCATTCAATAACAATATAAACTTCCCAAAGTTGGATCCTAACTTCTTGTGGTAGAACACTTTCAAGACTAAAATAAATGTTTTACACTCATTTTAGATGCGGTCCCTAACTACCAATGTTCTTTGACTGAAACCTTTGTGATTTTTAGTTTTTGATCGAAATTCATGATATTAATATAATAATGTATTTCTATGTGGGTTATTATATTTTTAAATTAAAAATGAAATTTGTAGTTATTTATATTAATGAGATTTTAAATAAAACCCATAATTCTGGGATAAAAAATATTAAAGATGAATTATACTTTCCAATATATTGTGTGTATATATATGGGTATTGTCACATCCCGGCCCGGGACGGATCACTTCCCGGGCCCATTCCATCACCGTAGCACGATATTGTCCGCTTTGGGCTTATCATTCCCTCACGGTTTTGTTTTTGGGAACTCACGAGCAACTTCCCAGTGGATCACCCATCCTGGGAGTGCTTTGGCCTCCTTCTCGCTTAACTTCGGAGTTCCTACGGAACCCGAAGCCAGTGAGCTTCCAAAAGGTCTCATGCTAGGTAGGGATGAGAATATACATTTAAGGATCACTCCCCTGGGCGATGTGGGATGTTACAATCCACCCCCCTTAGGGGCCCGACGTCCTCGTCGGCACACTTCCAGCCAGGGATTGGCTCTGATACCATTTTGTCACATCCCGGCCCGGGGCGGATCACTTCCCGGGCCCATTCCACCACCGTAGCACGATATTGTCCGCTTTGGGCTTATCATTCCCTCACGGTTTTGTTTTTGGGAACTCACGAGCAACTTCCCAGTGGGTCACCCATCCTGAGAGTGCTCTGGCCTCCTTCTCGCTTAACTTCGGAGTTCCTACGGAACCCGAAGCCAGTGAGCTTCCAAAAGGCCTCGTGCTAGGTAGGGATGAGAATATAGATTTAAGGATCACTCCCCTGGGCAATGTGGGATGTTACATGTATGTTCATCAAAACTAACGAAAAAATTATTGTACCAAAACATGGGTACATTTTTCTAAAGCACAAAAAAGAAGATATTAGGCTTAATAACATTATTAAATTTCTTCTATTAAACTTAATATGGATACATTCTCAAATCAACGAAATATAATGTACCCATATAAGTTTAAAAAATGGATTAGAGAAAAGATTGAATGAAATTTTATATAAAAAATGGGTACATTTTATATTTAAAAAGGTACATTTTTAACAATTGGTATATTTAAGAATGGATACATATAAGATTAAAACAATTTCAATTTTTTATAAAAAATTTATGGGTACAAACTTATTCTAATTTTATTTTTTATTTTTGGAAAATGTTTGAATTGAAAATTAATTAGGAGTTTAATAAGGGTGTGAGTATTAAAACTCTAAATCAATTACTAATTTTTTATATAAAAATTATGTAATTTACATGTAATTCATTAATATATTAATGTTAGGGACTTTGATTAAAATTTAAAAACTAATAAGGTCTTAATCAATGAACATTAGAAACTCGGGACCGGATACTAATTTTTTCTTTTTTTTTGACAAATATTCTAAAATGCTCTGATTTATAGGGATGAGGCAGCCACACTACCTTAGTCGACAATTTGTCATTATATATTGGTGTGAATTACAAAATCATTTTCTCGTTTTTTTTTTTTTTATAAAACGATATTGGTTGTAGTAAGTTGGACTCAACAACACAATGAGTCAATTATATTTAGCATAGACTCATCATTCATAACAATTAAATTTAAAACTTTATTTTTTAACAAGTAAAAAGAAATACCACAAGACCGCCGTCCTTTACTCGGGTGCTATTATTTACCAGTCCAAATTTTAAGATACCCTCTTTTGCAACATAGACAGGTGAGATCGGATCATCATCAGATATTAAACAATATGGTCAACCTGTTCTTATTTTGTTGGTGATCTTGATCAAGAATGAAAAACAATTCCCCACTCCTCTCACATCTTCCATCCAGCTATTAGATTATAGTTTTAGAGAAGACAGCAAACATGTGCTAGATCCTGGAATTGCCCATAATTTAGGCCGAAAACAATGAATTATGTAAGGGACAAAGAATGATATGCATGTTTTTGCAAGTATAATATATATAAAAAGCACTTCAACATCTCTTTCAACCTTTCACTTGATCACGTTGCAACATAAGATAATAATTAATGCATGCTTCGGTGATTTGCGTTGTATTTTTTTTTTCTTAAAAAGGATCAGCTGGTGGCTTCATCATGGCAGTCTATTCAATTAGAGGTCAGACAGATTCACAGAGACATTTCAACCTTCCCAAACCACTATCGTGTGATTCATTAGAGCCAAGATCGAACCCAAGACATTCTTCAAGTATTTGCATTGTATCTTGATGAAAGCGATTTGTGATGATCTGATTAATTATTTCACATGTATTTTGATGATTAGGGTTTAGGGATTGTTCTTTAATTATATACGGAAGATGAGTAAGCATGTTGAACAAAACACAAAATCAACTGCAAACAAATTGAGGTTAGCAAAGCTTTATATTATGTGTCGATTTACAAAATGGAATGGCCTTGTTTTTTACTATTATTTATACACGAGATATTCTACTTTAAATTTATCAACTGTACTCAAAAAAAAAAAAAAAAATTCAAACATAGATGCAAAATGAATAATTGCTAGCGTACTTAAAGAGCAATCTTCTTTTAACTTCTGCATGACAGAGTCTCCTTGCACTATTAGCCTATTAGGGCAAACCCCATATAGTGGCTAACATCATATTCCTTTTGAGTTCAACACACACACACACATATATATAAAGAAAAAAACACACACACATATATATAAAGAAAAAAACACACACACACATATATATATAAAGAAAAACGATGAGGAGAGATAAAATATAATTCAGAAATTTCAATCATCTTTTTTTTTCTTCCAAAATTTAATGGAAAACGGAAAAAAAGTAAAAAAGACAATAAAACTTATCATGTAACGATTAAAAAACCTTCAGTTTCAGACTACTGTTTAATATGTGAGCAATTGCGGTTAACATTTTTACCTATATTTGAATTCTAGATTGTTTCGTAATTTTGACAAAATAAAGAAAAACAGCCAACGATGCATATTGAAAAATTTTAAATAACTGAAAATGAAAGAAAAAGAAAAATATTCAACAATAAGCATCAAAAGTACAAAAAGATCTTAACGTTAAAGGTTATAATTGAAATATTTTCAGTTTCACACAACCAATTGACGCGTTAACGACTGTTGGTAACATTTTTTACTTACGTTGAATAAATTTGAACTACTGTTATTAATAATGTACGTGTCAAAATCTGATTGGCCTTATTAAGAATTTCACCTGTCAAGACCACAACTTCAACTGATCTTGACCTCATAGAAGATCACAATTTTGACTTGCAAGCCAAAATTTGCGCCCAACCTACCCCTACAAAAGAGGCGGGCCCACAAAACGTGCGCTGCTGTAATTTCCTCAACCAGAAAGGGTATTTTAGTCATTCGGTCTCTTCTACGGCTCCCCTTAACTGTTTCTAAGATTTACAGAGACTCTGCACCTCCATTCTTTCACAAGTCAATCCGTGGCCATTTTTCGCTCCCTAATTTCTCTGTCTGAATCTCTCTCTCTCTCTCTCTCTCTCTCTCTCTTTTCGTTGGTCTCCTGAGGATTCGTCTCTGAATTTCTCCATCTGGGTTGGTCGATCTTGATCGAAGTCAAGTTTGTAAGTAAGCATATCACTCTGTTTTATGCAATTTTTGTTACATTTTATGTGGCCAAAGTGTTGGATCATAAAAATAAAAATAAAAGTACTGGATCATTGCATTAGTTGTGGTAGTTGTGATTTGGGTACTTTTGCATCGTTAGATCTGTGATTAATTTGTAGAGTTTTGAGTGTTGGGTTTGCTATTAAGCTTTGATTGACTAACATGGCATTACTCAGTTTGATCTGGGATCTGTGAAATGGGT